AATTTTACAGTTTTCAGAGAGGAAAATATCCTGGAAGTTTATTACTATGGATTATACATATGGTAATTCGATATACTATTTCTTTTTTTTTTTTTTTTTGGTACCGGGGATCGAACTCGGGACCTTGCGCTTTCCAGAAGGTGCGGGAACCACTGAGCTAAATCCCCGGCCCTACACTATACTATTTTAGAATGAAAAGAATACTCAAACATTCTTACAATGCTAAAATCTCCCCCCAGAAAAATAGCTACAAACACAATCATAAGAAAGGAAACATTTTTATGGAATTTAACTCTAAAATGACACTTTTATTTTTCTCAGAGGATATAACCTCATCATGTTAAGATCAATTAATAACATGTCAAAAATTATTAAAGGTATATTACTTCTTGCCCAATAATAAGCCAAAAATCGAATACAACTAAAAAGTCATTTTCTCTTCAAATAACATTTCATCCCAAAATACAAAATGCAAATTAAATTTAAATTACAAAGAAATACAGACTCATCAGTAAACATCCTATTTACTGACCTACTTGGAAGTATCTTATACTTTGTAATAAGTTACTCCCCGCCCCCCAAAAAAAGTCATGAAAAAAGCTCAGGAGCCAGACTGTAAAGCTCCGAATTCCGCAACAGCACTCACAAACAAGCTAAACCTATCCACTCCAGCTGATACTACCTACTTCACGGGGTAGTTTGAGACCATGAAGAAGTTTGCATATGTTAAACCACTTACAATACCGACTGATACATGCTAAATACTCGCAGATGCTAGTTATTATCTCCACAACACGACAGTTTGGCACATACTATGTGCTCAATTCACACTTGCTAAATGGGTGGCTAACCTATCAAAAAAACAGTTTTTAGATCACTCAGAGCATATCTAAATCTAACCACAAAAATTATAAAATTACTTAAGTCATTTGGACCAGATTCAGGGAGTTAATGAAGGCACAAGGCATTACTGAGATAACTGAAATATTAGTTCTTCAAATAAGTACCATGCGACTCAGAGAGAGATATAACAGTTCCTGCTTTGTACAAACTCGGGCTAACAAGAAACAAAATTTGCAAAACTGAAAGGAAACTTGGAAATCTTCCAGTCCCTACCCTTCATTTTTAAAATGAGGAAACTACAGCCCAGAGAAGTTAAGTGATTGGCCAAAGTTACACACCTAGACAGTTAAGAGTCAAGACTGAATTCAGGTCTTTTAATTCCCAGGCTATTGGTCTTCTCACCATACTGAACTGATTCAAAGTATTCTATATGAAAAAA